CCCCCCCTTTTTTTTCCTTTAATTTAGGTAGGGAGGAAACACGGCTAAAAAAAAAAAAAAATGCTCCCTTTCTCCTTCCTTGCCTTCCTCCCTCCCCCCAACTTGGTTAGTGGCATCTTCCTGAAGGATTTTTATGCTTGTGTGCTTCATTGGGGTTAGAAGCAGCAGTGGTGTGTGATGGTGTTTTCTAAATCCCTTGTCTTAGTTTATAAAGCTCTGCTAATCCAGCATTTACAGGTGGACCATTTTATGTACTTCCCAATGAGGGTTACATAAAAGAAAGATATTTAAATGTATTTTTAGATGGACTGCTTTGTTATTGTTATGTATTGGTGATTTTTTTAGATATTTAAATCATGTTTTTAGAGCTTGCTTTTGTATGACAAATTTCTGCTGTGTGAAGGGGAGTTCCCTCCCTTTAAGCTCATGGACGAAAAATGTTTTGACCTAATGGAGGAAAATTATTCTTGCATTGTAGCTGAAACAGATAGTTTGGACACATTTATGGTGAAGACATACCTGATTGGGAACATCAAAAGTGAAAGACAAAATCTGACCTTTTAGAGACAACTGTACCAGTGCTTCATGTATGGAAACATTCATTTGCCCTTATTTTCTGAAGTTTTCACCAGTGCTCTGCCCTGTCAATGCCCCAGACCCCCTTTCTGTGAGCAGAAAGCTATGCACACCCACACTGTGTACCCTTCTGGGGTATGTTTGAAGTTTAGCCCTTTAGCCAGCTCTGATCTAATATCAGGACTATGTCCTGTATTAGGAATCTAATAATTAGCCAAGTGTCTGTTTTAGTTTGCATTCACAGAAAAAATGGCTGAGTATTTGGAAACAGCCCTCCTCCAGAAAATCGACAGTCCTTAGAACAGAACTTCCTAGGCTGATGGACGGCTGAGGCTGGAGGGACCTGCCAGAGCAGGGTGACCTGCAGCAGGTTGCTCAGGGACATGTCTGGCAAGGTCTTGAACATCTCTAAGGACAGAGACTCCACAGCCCCGCTGGCTGATTGCCCTCACAATAGTGAAGTTTCTTCTGATGTGTAAATGGCATTTCCTGTGTGTGCCCATTGCTCCTTGTCCTGTCACTAGGCACTGCTGAGCAAAGTTGGCTCCATCATCTTTACTCTCCCAGCAGTTACTTAGGCAGGTGGATGTGATTCCCCCTGAGCCTTCTCTTCTCCAGCCTAAACAGTATCAGCTCTCTGTCTTTCTTCATAGGAGAGATGCTCCAGGCCCTTAATAATCTTTGAGGCCCACTGCTGAGTGGAGGGGATGGATCACCTCACCTCCCTTGAGCTGCTGGGAATGCTCTGCCTGATGTAGCCCCACTGGCTGTTGGCTGCCTTTGCCATGAGGGACATGCTGCTGGCTCGTGGTCAGCTTCTTGTTCACTGGGGACCCACAAGATAAGAAAACCAAGAAAACTCCAAAACCCCATCTTCTGCAGGTCTTGCTGTCCTCCTGTGTAGTTGCTTCACATAGATGGAGACAGAAGTTCAGGCACATAAGAAATATAACTAAACCTTAAAGTGAATTTCAGTACTGGCAACTTCTTTGATTTTCACATTGCTGAAATATATTGCTGGTTATAAAATTCTTGGTTGTTAAGTATGATAAATATTCTGTGTGACAACATATGCAAAGTTTCTCATGGAGTTCAGGAGTTGCCTGATTCAGAAAGTTGGTTTTGGGTCTCTGTTTCTTTCTTGTTATGACCTAGATGGTCTCTTCAAAGCCTGTGCTTTCATGTATTTATTTTATAATGCACCGATTTTTGACACATGAGGGTTTGTGAAGTACATCTAAGGAATCCAGAAAAGGTGGCCAAAAAGTGTTGACCTGTTGCCAGATTTGCAGTTACTATAAGTTAGAATACAATTTTAAAATTTCTAAGTCCACAGCTCAAAACATGTTGGAAACTGGTGTATATATACATTTACAACATAAATAAAAATGTGTCTCTTCTATCCTGAACTCTTCTAAAGATGATTTGTAAGTTCTTTTCCTTTATGTGACTAAAATATTCTAAGAACTTGGTAGTATAATGACTTGAATTCCTAGTAGTTTCTTTGTGCAATGACAAGTATTACAGTATCTGATACTGACTTGCATGGCTAATTGGGGCAGGATCTGCACTGGAGGGAAGGTTGATGTTCTTCCTAGATACTGGTGAAGGAAAATGTTCTGTTACAGCTGATGTGAGTGGAGTTAAAAGTCTAACAGTATGCTGACTTTCATGCATGTAGTAGGGAGAATGAAAACTTCAGGAAAGAAAAAAAACATACTGACAAGATTCCCTTTTAAAATTAAATTTTGGGATATTAGGAGAACAAGCCACTGAAAGAAATGGAGTATGTTAAGTTCGCTAACTCCCCTTTGATCCACAGCTTCACCAGACAGTTCCTAAATCCTGCACAGCATCAGTCGGTCCAGTTGTGTTTGCTTTGAAGAAGTAGTCATTAAAATGGCAAAGCACCTTATCCTATTTATACAACTCTGGAATCATTTCCATGAAGTTATGTCTCAGGGATCGATTTGCTTTGATTTTGTGTACAACTAAGGGATTTAAAAAAGAGATCCTTATTAATTAGTTGCAGAGAGCAGTAACTGCAGAAGGCTCTTTTTTTTTTTTTTGTAGTTGAGTCCTCAGAGACATAAAAAGCCTATTTAGGAACTGAAAATTGAAACAATTTCTTTCAAGATGTTCTGTATGGGAAATGTATATAGGAATATAGGAATAGAAGCTGTGCTTTAAATGTAGGGATCTGAAGAGTGGTGCTGTTTATTTTTAACCATTCATACCTGTGTAAATGGGAAGATATGAAAGGGAATGTCCATGGCTTTTTAAATGGTAACTGGAAGATGTCTGGTGAAAAAAAAAAAAAAAAAGGTTTACAAGTTTCTCTTGCTAATACAGACATTTTGTTTGGACTTCCTGCTTTACAAAAAGGAAGCCTGGTATTTTAACTTGTTGGAGAGAATGAGATAAAAAGTTATTTTATTTTTAATATGCTTTTAAATGCGGTTTAAATGAAATTATTATAAAGATGCAGTCAGCTGAAATTGTCATTAATCATATCTATTCTCTTATTTCAGGCATTGAATCTGGCATATTCCAGCATCTACAGCAACTACAGGAATTTTGTTGGTCCACCTCACTTTAAAGTCATCTGTCGACTTCTTGGGTATCAGGGCATTGCTGTGGTGATGGAGGAGCTGCTGAAAGTTGTCAAGAGCCTGGTATGCCAACTGCCTTTCATTTTCTGCTATTCCAAATGGCTTCTCATAGGAAATGTCTCAAGAAATACACCATGAAAATAACATCTCAGATAAAAACTGATTAAAATGTTGCTTCCGTTGAAGTTCAGTATAAGCTGTGTTTGAGAGTACTCAGACTTGTCTTGTAGAAACAATATATGATGTGCCTTGGTAGCCTGTGCTGTTAGGTATGCATAGGTATACATCCATAAACAGCATGCATATTTCATATAATTTGATTTCAGCTGGAGGGTTGCACTGTAAATTGACTTTTTCAGTGTTTTTTTGAGAACAGCTGGAGTGTGTTTTCTGCCTTGCCTAACTTGAGGGCTTTCATTAGTAACATCATTGGCAGATGACGCAAGGAATGTTTAATCTCAGGGCTTGATCTAGCAATGGATAGCATCAAGCCTATTTAGAAGAGTGCTCACACCAGCTGTTGAAGAGGTTACCCATCCAGCCTGGGTATCTGATGATGTTGGAAAGGACCTTTTCTGTAACTAGCAGGAGGTTGAGGGGCTGATTGTTCAATTATTATTATTATTTTCATAATCTCACTTCAGGTACTTGACACATTTGGCAGTTTCTTTACAGTAATTGCCACAATGGTTTGAGTTGGTTTTGACATTCTAGAAAAGTTGGAGCCTGCTTGAAGGGGAACTGTGGTCTAATATTCAGGAAAAGAGGAAAACACAGATATTTTTCATGATTTGTGATCAAGTGTTGGTTTGTTGTTTTGAAGGGGGATTTTTAAAATTATTTAAGTGGTAAATCATCACAATTCATTAAAGGTAACACTGAATGCATGGACATGTATAAAAGAGGTTAAAATAAAAGGTCTGGAGGGAGCTATGCTGCTGATGCCTGGTGCAAATGATCAAATGTAGGGAGACAGGTTTGAGATAGGTGTCTGAGAAAGCAGACTGACTGTCTCAACTGGGGTGTCTGGAATAGCCAGCTTGAACTCCTGCAGACATAGCCAATACTAAGGATTCTTCTGTTGTTGCTTTGGAAGGCTTTCAAATTCCACTATTTTACCAACAAATCTAAAAGTTGGTTAGACAATAGAGACTGCAAGAGAAGAATATTGTTTCCTCTTTTTTATCTTCCTCGTCTTAGTTTTGTGCCACTCTTCTGTAGAAAAAGATTTGCTAATGAAGGAAAGTGCAACTGTATTTACTTGAAGAAGCCACCTTTTTGAAAATGATGACTGACAGAATTAAATGCAAGATTCTTAGAGCTTGTTCAGTTCATGTGTAGTTTGAATGTAGTTTGTTGTAAAGTTTCTTAGTTCAATAACACTGACATGTTTACAACACATCTGCTCTCTTTTAGTTACAAGGGACGATTCTTCAGTATGTCAAGACCCTAATGGAAGTGATGCCTAAGATCTGTAGGTTACCAAGACATGAGTATGGTTCTCCAGGTTAGTTTATATTTGGTGTTACCACAGTAACCTTAATAAGATGATACTAATCACTGTCTTCTTTCACTCCCTTTCTTGTCTCTCCCAATAATCAGCACTTAGTCTTTCTTTTTTTGTCAATAACAAGAATCATTGAATGTTGAGCTTTCTGAAAGTATTAGGTAAAGTTTTAAGACTTTTATGCTTAGAGCAAATAAAAATATGTCAGTCTGTACACAGACAGCTTTATATATATACACATATATATGTGGGGGTGGGGGTGTGTGTATGTATATATATATATGTATATATATACATATACGGTGTGACCAGGACAGACTGGAGAGCTGGGTAGAGAAGAACCTAATGAGGTTCAACAATGGCAAGTGTAGGGTCCTGCACCTGGGGAGGAGAACTCCATGCACCAGTATAGGTTAGGGGGGGACCTGCTGGAATGCAGTTTCAAGGAGAAGGATCTGTGAGTCCTGGGAGATAGTAAATTATCCATGAGCCAGCATGTGCCCTTGGTGCCAAGAGGTCTGATGGAATCCTGGCCTGCATAAGGAAGAGTGTGGCCAGTAGGTCAAGGGAGGTTATTCTCCCCCTCTACTCTGCCCTGGTGAGGCCACATCTGGAATACTGTATCCAGTTCTTGGCTCCCCAGTTCAAGAGAGACAGGGAACTACTAGAGAGAGTCCAGTGGAGGGCAGCAAAGATGACTGGGAGACTGGAGAATTTCTCGTATGAGGAAATTGCTGAGAGCTAGGACTCTTTAGCCTGGAGAAGTGAAGACTGAGGGGAGACCTTATTAATGACTACAAGTATCTAAAGGGTGGCTGCAGGGAGGATGGAGCCAGACTCCTTTCAGTAGTTCCCAGTGAAAGGGCATGGGGCACAAGCTGGAACATAAAAAGTTCCACTTAAATATAAGAAAAAACCTTCCTGTGAGGGTGACAAAGCACTGGACCAGGCTGCCTGGGGAGGTTGTGGAGTCCGCTTCTCTGGAGACATTCAAGACCCACCTGGATGCAACCCTGAGTAATGTGCTCTTAGAGGATCCTGCTTTAGCAGGGAAGTTGGACTAGATGGTCTCTAGAGGTCCCTTCCAACTGTGACAATTCTGTGATCCTATGATATTTGATATTGAGCTGGGAGGTTCACAATAGTTTCTATTTCTAGTCTTTCTCATCAGTGTGTTGAGCTCTTCTCTCTTCCAGTTAGTGTCTGACACTTGGTTGTGTGTGTCTTATTTAGATAACCTCAATTCTCTGGAAAAGCCTCACTTCCCTTGCCCTTATCAAATGTAAGATAAAAGGACTGGTACTACTAAGAGGCAAACTGGTCCTGCCAGAATAGTTATGTCTGAGGCTTCTGTGGGGTGCTTCTTAGCCACTTAACAGGAGGTGTGACAGTTGCAGAAGTAGAAATTACTTTGAAAGCTGCTTGCTACTATGGAGAAATAATTGGCTAATTAGTATTTATCACATTGTTCACTGAAATTCTGAAATGCCTCCCCATCCTTCAAAATATTCCTCCTCCGCAACTTGTAATTAACACAGATTAATCCTTCCATGTGCCTCCCACCTCCTGAGTATATATTTATTTTTCCAAAGTTGCTTAGGTTTATTAAATGCCACTCCAACTGGAATGAGATTGATTTTTTTTTTTCTGCTTCCCACAGCTTGTTTGACACTCATTACCGATGTTAAATGAAATTGAGGACTTACTGTTTCCTTCCTGTTTTTCTCCCTCGAGCACAGAAATGGATGAATCATAGTACTTAGCAGTATAAAAATAATCTGTCTGAGGTTTTTAGCCACTCATTAAGGTCTGACTGCACAAGCAGTAGGTATTCTCAAATACAGACTATGCATCACCAGGCTCTGTGATGCTGCAGGTGACATTAGGAAGCTCATAGTCTCTTTTGCCAGAACTGCTCCCCTGTAAGGAGGGAGTATTTGGCAGGAGATGCCCAGGGACTTAAGCAGAAACCTTCTTTTGAGGTTAAAAGGCAATTATTTTATAGGAAAGGCAAATCTTTACCTGTGCAATGGTTGATTAAAACATTTCAAAAGTCCTCCATCACTTTCCTGTTTTGTAGAGATGACAAACTGCTTTGACCTCTTATTTACTCTTCCAAGAGAAATCTCATATGTTTAGATGCCTGCTGTACCAAGAGATCAGAGTAACTCTGAATGGAACCTTGTAGCCACTAGAATTGCACTGGATCTCAAAAACCAACCTAATTTTGCACTCCCTTACTGCCCTTATTCTTAGCAGGTTTTTTCTTGACGTGTATTTTTCCTGTTCTGAACTATTTTTAGCAGTGGGCATTTAATAACTTCCCAGAGAGTCTCTTCCAAGAAGTGGGAGAGACGACTGTTACAGCAGTATCACACTGCTTCCCCCTTTCCATTTGAAGCTCCTAGAAGATGTGTGTGAAAGCCCAGGGCACTGCCATCCTCTCTCACATCACTGAAGAATCACGTTGTGCACTCTGACAGGAGCTGTTTGTCCTTGGAGCAGCTCTGACTGATAAAGGAAAATGTTCTCTGCATTGAGGACATGCTGTAGATTTTAGTCCTCGTCTGGCATCTTGAGAGGAACTGCCAGATTGCGGAAGGGCAGGCTCAAACCCTGTTTACATTTGCTGTGGCAAACCAAGTCAGTTAATACATGCCGACTGATCTCTGTTCCCTCCTCTGCCTCCAAAACCTCCCTGCAGAAGTTACTACTTGTAGTGGTAAGTCTGAGTGTTACAGAGCATCTCTGCTGCTTCTGTTCTTTCGCAACAAATTGTTTCTTTATAATTAGCGCTACCTACACACGCGGACCAAAACTGTGGTTCTGATCCACAGATTAAATATGGAGATACTCCCCTGTCTTGATGTAACATGCATTTATCATTTCAGAATTAACTTCCTGAGTCCATTCTCCAAATGCACAGGGATTTAAGTGTGCTCAGTAAGTCATTAGCCATTTCGTGCACCTCAGACTTCATTTGGAGAGCTTTGTTTGGACTCTGTTGATTTAATTCCTTGAGCCCTACATAATCAGCCTTCTAGACCCGTGGATTTCTAAACAGTGATTTGTTCCTGCTAAAAGGAGCAGGGTACAGACAGTGGCATCAGACTTGTTCAGGACTCCTGTTTGCCAATGGGTTTGTTTCCATAGGAACAGTCTAAAGCAGTGGGGAACTTGCTCTCATGTAGTCATAAAAATATTTGTCTAAAAATACATTAAGTGTAAGGATTTTTAAAGGGACCTCTTTAAGCTTCTAAAGCTCTTAAAGGAATATTGGCCTGTTAGAGTTTAAACTTGAAATTTCCTCTTGGAGGCAACATTTTCTTCCACTGTTTTTCTGGTGTTTGAGTATGACACTCCTGCTTTTTATAAACGAGTATTTTGTGTCCTGTCACTCTGAAGTGTCATTGGATATGATGAGGAAAGTAATTTGTCAGCTTTGCTGTGAGATGAGGCTTTTTTTAGTCACTGGTATATTACCCCTTGAAAATAAAGTTACTTAAAAGAAAACTAAAAATCAGTGGGTTTAGCAAGATATAAACTTGGTGGAAAAGCAGCCTTATTGTGTCTTTTTTCCTCAGTATAGTATTTCCTTATTTCTTCTTTAAAAAAAAAAGCAGCAAGCAAAACACACAAAGCTGGTGCAGGGATAAACACTCATTACTCCAGGCCATGATCTCTTGAAATCCCATATGTTCACATGGCAATCTGGGGAAGCCTCCCCCTGCCACCAGCTGTTATGTTCCCATCTCTCCATGGGCTGATTGTGCTGCTGGCCAACACCTTCTCTGCTGCTTTGGCACAGCAACCTGGCAAAAAAAGCTGTCTTCCACCCTGCCTTTTTCTGGAATATTTCAGGTCAAGATCTAACAGGAACTGGAGCCTGGGCTGGGAAATGTGGTGGAGGGTGGTAGTGGCTAGAGGCGTTTGGGAAAGCATTGCTAGTGATGCTTCTTGTTATCCCAAGTTTTTGATTCAACTTGGATGACTGGGAGAATAATTTTTTGATGGGGGCATAATGGCTGAGTCTTTGGGGGAAGGAAATTTATTCATAGTTTTTTCTGGAATATTGGAGAAAGTTTTTGGAGGGAATCACAGATTCCTTGAAAGAATTTGGAGGCAACACACATCACTTAGGTGGCTATGAAAGGGCAGTAAGGACTGATTAGATTTGCTGAACAAAAGTGTATTTATTGCTATCAAAATAAGCACAGTGCACAGGCTACTTGATCATCACTCCCAGATATCACATGTGGTTAAGCCTTACCAACAGTTCTATTGAACGGAATGGCATGACTGCTGATACACAGTTAATAATGTCTCTTGTGAGCTAAAGAAGTATTTGTAGCTAATGAAAACCAAAGTTTGTTACAGCATCCAGTTTCTTGGGAGAAGTTTTGCTGTTGTAGATTAGCAGATTTTACTTGACAATAGTCAAGTCAGTACTATGCAGAAAATAACCCATAACACAATTAGACCAGTAATTATATTCAAGATCTAGTTTGTTGTTAGCAATTTGGTTGTAGACTTAATAGCTAATGTTTGTGCTAATCTTTTAGGTACCAGAATTGTTATGAGGTCAGGAACATTTGGGTCTGTAGGTGTGAATTGAGGCTGCTTTACAGATGATGAAAGGTGGCCAAAGTGAAGAAATCTAACCAGCTTTGTTTTGCATGTGTTGACTTGGTCTGAGTTCCTAAATTAATTAGTGTTGACTTGGTCTGACATCCCAAATTAATTAGTGTACAGACTGGACAGCTGAAACTTGGCATCTGCTGTTTGAATACTCTTGATATAGGATTTTGGAAGCAGAGATGGAACCTAATCCTTTACTAATCATCTGTACTTTGCTGGATCTGTTTTATATCAACAGCCTTTGCTTCTGTTGAGCTCTGTAAATCAGAAACTGGGATTATAAAATCAATTATTATGACACCTAATGTCATCCCATCTGCAGGAATAGAGGGGTTTAATTAAAATAGCTTTCTTGGAGAGAAGGAGCAAAACCACTTGATTCATTTGCCTTGCGAAATGCTACATATATATAATTAACTCAACTTATGAATTGTACCTACAAATAAAATTAGGGGAAGGTGAAAGGTTGCATGCAGTTCAGTGCAAGTAACTTTCCCGAGACACTTGTTCTTTTCCAGGGCTTTGTTATGCATGCATAGTCTTTCATAAAAATACTGTTCTTTGTACTGTACAGTACAAGGAAGTGTAATTGGGGATGCCATTGCTCAAACATTAAAGACAACATGAGGATACATTTCTGCCACAGGACTCCCCTGGGGAGCAGACCATGCTTTGTGTCCTTTCTGTTCTATCAAAAACAGCTATGTAGCTCAGTAAACTTTTGTCTGCTTTGCCAGTATATCAAGCTCTTCATCTAAGAGGAAGCAGTACACTGTTGTGTTTGGAACAACTGCATGCCAGATACTGGGTGACAATTTCAAAATAATGACACCATTTGTCCATGAATGCGTGTGTGTGTTTATATGTCTGTATCTGGAGGCTGCAGCTTTGAGTGAAGAAATAAGGATATTTGTTCAGGACATTGAGAGTAACTCTGTCACCTGGAGTGACTATTAAAGACAATATGTATTTTTTCTGGTATGAAACTTAAGGCTTTTTGAGTTCTTTGTTTTGAGTTGTCTTACTGTCTTGCTTTGGTCTCAGTCACACCTTCAGTGTGGGTTTAGGTAATAGCATTCCTTGTTGCCTGTCAGAGTACTCTCTGCTGTTTCTGTCTTTTGCAACCTAAATGATTCTGTTATTCTAACCTCTGATTTTTAATGTATTTAAATGTCGCTCCTTTCAGTTTCCTCTAGGCTGCACATGTAGAGATAAAAAAAATCTCATGTCCTGATCCATGGAGGAAGAACTCTAACCCCACACCCTTGGTTAGTTGTGCTCTGCTGCAGTGTACAACAATACAGCCTTTGAGTAGGCAAATTGGTTAGAAAATTAGTGTGCTTTTGAGGCAGAGAGAAAAATTAATTCTGATCCATATGACTCTTATGCACAACAAGAATCTTTTGCCTGCTTTCCCAAGGTAAGAGGTGTGATCATCAGTAGATTTCATTCTGGCTCCTTAAATTTAATTTGTTTTGCTTCTCTTTTGATTTCAGGTATCTTGGAGTTTTTTCACCATCAGTTGAAGGACATTGTTGAATATGCAGAGCTGAAGACTGTCTGCTTCCAGAATTTGCGGGAAGTGGGAAATGCCGTCCTGTTTTGCCTCCTCATTGAACAAAGTCTGGTAGGTGCCTGCTGTGCTAGTTTAAAAGCCATCTGTGTCTCAAAATGTGCTGTGCAATTTTTGTTACTAACATCACCAATAACAAGGTTGAAATCTGCAAATTCGCAGTTGCTGATGGGCAGATGGGTAGAAACGTTTCCCTGGTCGGGTCCCTTACAGTTTTGCAGGGGCTTTCATGTCTGTCTTTGAGAATAGATCCAGGAAAGTAGAGAAGATTTCATGTCTCTGTCTCTCACTTTGCTGGGTGAAAGACCTTGCCTCATGTACAGTACCTGAGGAGCAGATATTCTGACCTTCATCATGAATTATGATAAAACGTAGTATTCCTGCAGGCAGTCATGGAGTGCCTGCCCTCTTGGTGATGTCAATGAGTCGTGTGGCTGCTGCTGTTATTTTCCTTCCCTGCTAGTCATTCCTCTTGTCATCTGAAACGTTGCAAGGCTGACATGGACTTCTTGGACATCCTTCTTGCTGCTTGGATGACTGACAGTGGTATCCACTCTTGCCAGACATTCATCTGTCTTAGCTTGAATGAGGTTGTGAAATGTGTCCAGTGATTCAACTCTTTCTTAGATGCCTTAGCCTTCTCTTACAGCATGTGAAGCTGCCCACTGCTGAGAGCACAGTGCTACAACTGGGCTTTATCCCTGCTTCTCGTTTTCTTTTCCTACTCTTCTTTCATATTACACAATCTGATGTTTAAACAGAATGGCCAGACCTGTAATTTCTTGATCTTCATGCTTTTGGGTGTTTATGGAGGGACAAGTGGGCATTGCTTCTCTAGGAGAAAAGCATCAGGTGTGCCATCTTCCCTTTCTTTACCTGTGTTGTTCTTTTGAGACTCGGGTGGGGAGTCTCTCCCCTGCCTGCATGTACAGGATGTTCTGCCCACTTTGTGGCAGCACATGCTGCTGCTGAGGCTGGGCTGCCCCTCATGTAGAGATCTCTGCTGGCTCTGAGCCACCTACATCATTTCCTCAGCAAGCTGGATGGGGTCCTGCTGCTGCACAAAAATAAAGCCTCATGGAATACTCCTCCTCTAGGGTGTATTAAAGCTGTTGATTTTAGGTAAGGTAATGAAGACCTGCTGTTCCTCAGACTTCATGGTGTTAGAGAATCCCTTCCTCATGGTGGAGACTAATTGGAGGGACAGGTGACAAGCAGCAAACCTGTATTTCAGTAATGGGATAGCTGAAACAAAATGAGAAACTGCATTAATTTGCATTCAGACTGACAGGGTATGTGATGAAAGGGCAGGCAGGTGAGGGCCCTCACTGCTTGAGGCTGTACTGAAGTGACAGCAGCTCTGGAGGTGTGTTCTTTGGTGTGCTGCCTTGGTGACGGTTTCTGGTGTGCTTCCTCTACTCTTGTTTTTGTCCTCAGTGGTGCCCTGATGTCTGATGCTTATTTCAGTGTTTTTCCACTGTGGTCATCTACCATAATTTATCTAGACTTTACCCTGGTGCAAATAGTGGGTGTGTGATGTGTCTGCTAGTGGGTGGGTCCTGTTAATCTTGGTTGCCTAGCACATGCATTTCCATGGTGTTGACATAAAACAATAGAATCATTGAGGCTGGAAAATATATTTGAGAGCATCAAGTTCAAATGTAAGGAACTATGTGTGGGAAGGGTGTAGTAAGTCAGGTACCCTGTTCTTGCTGAGGGTGTGGCTGATGATCATCTCTTCTAATACCAGCCTAGGAGAACTACAAATAAGCAGGGCCTCTGCTGCAAAAATCAGGAGTGGGGCTTAACAAAATCATGCATCTGCTTCTGGTCATCTCTGCATTCTCTCTGCAGACACATACAGCAGCCAAGAGCCTTTTCCTCCATCCCTAAAGATGTAAAATACTTCATGAGAGCTGGTTCACTGCTGTTCTCATGTGTCAGCCTGCCTGGTGAAAAGATGCCTCCCCCAAGATAACAGGTTGTGGAAAGAGCGCAGGTTATAAAAATAACGAAGCAGTGAGTCATCTTCACCGCTCTGTTTGCACAAGAGCAAGTCTGCCACTTCCACACCGAAGTTACTCACTCTGAATTAGTCTTTTTAATAAATAGCCTGTCCTTTACAAGCTGCCAGCAGAGGGTGGGAGGGGAGCTGCTGGAGTTTGTTTGGGAATCCAAGGTAACCCCGTGAAATCAAATGGTCTTCGGGAGCGACCCAGTGAGGTGGAAGCAGCTGGGTGCTGTGGCGCGGAGGCTGGCTGCCCCCTGGTGTTCCCGCCGTGCTGACAGCACGCTTTTGAGAGCCTGTTCTGGGGATCTGCTGTGCTTCGGGGATTCTTCAGTCTTAAATGCTTCTCGTTTCCTTTCTGTTCCAGTCCCTCGAGGAAGTGTGTGACTTGCTGCACGCGGCACCGTTCCAAAACATCCTGCCCAGAGTTCACGTCAAAGGTACCAGCTGAGTGAAAACCCTTTCCTTGGGTAATGCTTCCCACTTTCTGTGCCTGCTGCTGTGGTCGTGGTGACTGTCCTCAGCCATCCTTTACAGCCCACTGCTCTTGATTATGGGACAGAGGTAACAGATTCAGGACTGTTTGCCTGGCTGAAAAATGTGCTTCTTCATGAAGCTCAGCACAAACTACAAGCAGAAGACGAGAAATGCCATGACAAAGTGGAACAGATACCCAGGGCAGTATTTACCCCTCTATGTGGGTGTGGTAAGAGGCTTTTCCTAAGGTGCTATCTATCTTGAATGATTGTAAGTAAATGAGGTGGGCTTGATCACACAGGGTATAGGCAGTCTGTCAGCAGAGTAAGTACACTAAGTGCTCGGTTGTCCCAGTAGAGTTTTCACATGCATTTTTCTGAACTGAGCATGCAGTGGTGAATATTAGCAGGATTGCTTCCTCTGGTATCTGCTTTCCTCATCCTTCAGCATCAGAAAGAGAGCTTTCTTTTTCCCCTCATGCTTCTCTGCTTTCTGTGTTGCTCCTCTGTCTCCTTTCCTCCCCGTTTCTTGCTGCCACAGCAGCTGATTTTTCTGCTCGGAAAAATACCATCAGCTAAAAATCTTTTACAGTGTTTCCAGACTCACCACAGCTACTGGCATCTCTTCGTATAACTCACCAGGCCATTGTAAACAGTGTTTTCCCATTTGCCAGAGAACATTTCCTACTTGCCAGTGATGAGGGGGTGCCAGCTGCTTTTTTAAGTCTTGCTATACATAAGATTCTACCCTCATTATACCCCACCTTCTGGAGGCAAGCAGTTTATGCATGATAAGGACAATTTACTTGGCTTCGTACAAGTGGGAGGCTAGCAGTAGTGGCATAATAGAGCCTTATATTCTTTCTTGAATTCAGTTAATGAATTGTGTTCTACTACAAATCCTTTTCTATGCACATGCAGTGCAACATTTTAAAATATAAACATATTTTTCTAAAAGTGCATTGACGATTAACCAGGTAATTAGAACTGAAGTTATTAAGTAACATAACTAGTTTCCTTCTGCACTGAATAAAGCTTGTGTGAAAAGACTTATTTTTTTTTCCTTTCAGAGGGTGAAAGACTTGATGCTAAAATGAAGAGACTAGAATCAAAATATGCTCCGTTACATTTGGTTCCTCTGATTGAAAGACTAGGCACACCCCAGGTAATCTCTTTCATTGGTGTCGCAAGCAATTCAAGAAGTTTATGAGCACTAGAAAGCCTGTCCCTTCACACATGCCAATAGCTGTGTCAGAACTTCAATCTGCATGGCCAGAGGGTTCACACAACAGGATTTTTATTTTTTTTTCAGATCTACGGAGCTGGTACAGCTGTTAAAGCTCAGAAGTTGAAAACTGTTGAGACTGGGGTGGAATTGACATGTTTTGGGGAAAATGCTGATTTGCATGTATGTGACTATGGGATACCCTCTCAGGAGAAGGGCCAGCCTGAGATGTCCTAGTGCAAATTCTGTGAAAGTCAATCAATTTTCTTGCACATGTATACATATTTTTAAAATAATTTTTCCCCCTCTCAGCCAGATGATTAGAAACTCCTGGAAAGTGAGCTGAGATTTCCTGGAAACACAAAGACCAAAGAGAACATTCTTGAACTACCTTTGCAGCTTCAGCGCTGTTTTCCTTTCTCTGAGTGTGAGGGGGACAGTAATTCCCTGCTACCCATAGCAATTTACAAGTGATTGAGATGTCAGTTGCAGAAGCTAAGAGCAGAGTGCTCTGAAGCAAAGACTTCAGACTGTTTTTATCATCCTGCCTGCTGCAGCTTGGTAGGTGATGCTCCTTAGGGGAGCACTCAGTGTGGTGGCAGAAGCTAAGCCAAACCTCACCATTGTCATCCATGGGTTTTGTCTCAGCCTGTTTGTGGTGTGTTTGGAGCTTTCCCACCTGTAGCACAAGCAGCTGAGGGAGATGTGCAGAGGAGAGCAGGCCATAACTACTGCTGAACACTGAACTCTGTGATTTTTCTTTCTGCCTCCATTCAGGCAAAGACTTCTTTACATTTTCCTGGGACTAGTTCAGGATTAGCATTTACTGCAGTTAGCATGACTTACGACAGCAGTGGCCTGTCTGCTGAAAAAGGCTTTTACCATTTTCTCTGAATGCTTTTTCCACTGAACTGAACCCCAGGTTGGCAGCTTCTGACCTCATGTCATGTCAGGAGAAGAATCTCCTAGAATAAACCAAGAGAAACTGAAAAAAGACGGTGGTGTATTTTTTAAAAGACAAAGAAGAAAGGAAGGAAGTCAAGTGGCTTTTACCAGGGTTGTGCCCTTTCTTTCTCCCCACCGCAGCAAATAGCCATCGCGAGGGAAGGGGACTTGCTGACCAAGGAGCGCCTCTGCTGCGGGCTGTCCATGTTTGAGGTGATCCTGACCAGGATCCGCTCCTTCCTGGATGACCCTATCTGGCGCGGGCCCCTGCCCAGCAACGGGGTGATGCACGTGGACGAGTGTGTGGAATTCCATCGCCTCTGGAGCGCCATGCAGTTCGTCTACTGCATCCCTGTGGGAACACACGAGTTCACGGTGGAGTACGTACTGCCGGGCAGCTGAGCTTTGCTCGTCCTGCCTGGAACCGAGTGGGGGTTTGTCTGCCAGTCTGTGAGGGCTCAGTGTGAAACCAAGGGCAAGTGCTGCAGTCACCCAGAGGGGCTCCTGCTCCATACACACAGATACTGTTGTATCTTGAACAAAAGTAGCCTTCTGTTTTAAGTATTGCCAGTGTGGAATGAATGATCCCATGACAAACAGGCCCTACCGCACATCTTTCAGTAGTAGTTGCTGAAGTTAAATGAAATAGCATGTTTATCTAATGAAGTTAAATGAAATAGCTTTTCTAACAAGTGTTTTCTTCTCTGGATTAAGAGCAGGAACGAGCACTTGGAAGTTAACATGAGTTTAGCAGGGACTGTTGTCCTTGGTTCTGTTAATTTTGGTAATGTCCTTACTTTGAAAGACTCCTGAGCTGTAATGTGCTCTTCACTGAGCAGTTACGGAGGCACCATCATAGGATGTTTTCTTCGTTTTGTGCCTGCAGCGCGAGGGAGCAGAGCAGTGTGGAATTCCCACTTTCTTTGGGAGTGTTGTTTCCTTTGAAAATGAGATGTAATGCCAGTGGAGTCAAGCAGGGAGTACATGCTTTTAGAGTAACTGTCGTGTAAAACTGGGGGGAGGACTCGTGTTTTTTTGTTAAACATCCATTTGCATCCCTTGTGGCATCTAAAGCGAGAGCTTCATTTGCTAGAGATGTTGCCATATTTTCAAGATGAATGTCTAACATCCTCTGGGGTGATATTGCTGTAGTTCAGTGTAATGGCTGATGGTGTAGGTGCAACCTACAAGCAAGGTGCTTTACGTGGTGTTTTCCTGTCTCAGGCAGTGCTTTGGAGATGGCCTGCACTGGGCAGGCTGTATGATCATCGTGCTTTTGGGGCAGCAGCGCCGCTTTGATGTGCTGGATTTCTGCTACCACCTGTTGAAAGTCCAGAAGCATGATGGCAAAGACGAGGTTATAAAGAACGTGGTGAGTTGAAAACATCTGTTCTGTGTTTGCTGTATTAAGCGAAGCAACAGTAAGTCAGAGCTGTGTGTTCTCAGATGCAGTGTAGATCTAACAATTGCTTTTTAGAGTGAAATGTTAAAAATGAGGGTACTGGGGTACTTGGGAACAAAAGGTGCTGAGACAGTTGGGCTGTTCAGCCTGGAGAAGAGAAGGCCTCAGGGAGACCTTATAGTGGCCTTCCAGTACCTGAAGGGGCTACAGGAAACCTGGGGAGGGACTTCTCATCAGAAAAGATAGTGGGCAAGGGGTAATGGCTTTAAACTGAGAGAGGGGAGATTTAGGTTAGATATTAGGAAGAAATTTTTCACTGTAAGGGTGGTGAGGTGCTGGAATAGGTTGTCTAGGGACGTTGTTGATGCCCCATCCCTGAAGCATGAGGCTCCAGGTTGGGTGAGGCTTTGTGCAGCCTGGTCTAGTGGTAGAGTTCCCTGCTCATGGCAGGGGGGTTGGAACTAGATGATCTTTAAGGTCCCTTCCAACCTTAACAATTCTATGATTCTATGATTAGTACTGGAGTTGGAAGACTGGCCAGTGCGAATTCTTATTTCCTGAAGATGTGGGAATTTCTTAATGCTTCTCATCTCATCCATGTGCATTCAGATTATGACAGGGCTGTTATGCGTTGCCCTTTCTTGTACAAAAAGCAGCACTATCAAAAATTAAAACGCACCCTGGATTTGTACGGGATTAGCAGTGTCAGGGAGACATTCTTAACATTGCTGGGAGAGGTGAGGTAACCGCATTTGCTGCGTCTTGTCTTAAGGCTTTTTATCTCCAGAGCTAATTCCTATGTGTCTGGGTTTTTTGTTTGTTTTTTTTGTTGTTGTTGTTTGCAGCCCTTGAAGAAAATGGTTGAGAGAATTCGCAAATTCCAGATTCTGAATGATGAAATAATTGCTATTTTGGACAAGTATTTGAAGTCCGGCGATGGGGAGAGCACACCCGTCGAACACGTGCGCTGCTTCCAGCCACCTATTCATCAGTCCCTTGCCAGCAACTAGACCTCCCACCCCGTGATCCTTTTTGCACCACTTTAGGCTAAAAAGTATGAGGGAAAAAAAACCCAACCAACAAAAATGACACCAACAGTTTCAAGGAATACTCTGGTCTGCATTTTTTGGCGTTGTCTGTGCCATTTGAGTGGTGCACTGTCCTCGTCAGCCTCCAAGCACAGTAACTGTACACAATCTAGACTTATTTTTCTAGACTAAAATTTTATACACTTTTGATTAAAAACTTGCAACTGTCCAAGATTTTTGAAATCTCTTTTGCATTCCTGTACCGAAGTGGCCATTTTAGAGTGGACTGGCATCGTTTTCCCCTGAAGCGATCAAAATAAGAGCAGTGGAGGATGAGAAACTGGGGTCTGTAGAAAAAAACTAATTTCGAGATCAATTTCTAATTGTTTGTATTAGAGAATTAACTGCTTAATTAGCCTTTATTAAAAAAACAAACAACAAACTCTGCTGGTGCTTTGTAATTTTTCTAGTCAGTCGATTGTTTTTCTTCTTTGCAAAGCTAGTCTCTGAGATCTCTTGAGTAATTATGGAAATGAAGGCTAATTAAGGTGATTGTTTCCAAGTTACTTAACATGGAGGTGACTGATCTTTTTAATAAGCAGTAGTTTGATTGATAAGAATGGGGACTGATTACTTTTTCTTAATGAGAGCTTCTAACACAATTTATGTTTTGGCTGGCAATACACCCCCGTGTACCAGAATACATTTACAAGTGATAAGAAATCCTTCTTTACAAGCATCTTTAATACAGTGATCAGGTGTATTCTGTCCCAGGACAGAAGCTTCTAACAATGTTAATAATAATGATTTACTTATGGAAAGTAGTTGTTTAATTACACTTATTGTATGATGCAAACACTGCATGAGTGAAGTTGTTTGTAAAACTTTGCAACTATAAAACTTGAATTTGAAAGCAACATGCTCAGCCAAAAGTAGTCAACTCCTGCTTGCTTTTACTGCAGGGTCCTCAGAGCTTTTCAGTTGGCTGTTAGGATCAGCTCAGACCTGACATGAATGAAGATGGCTGAACAGACACAGATAATTACACATTTTACCCGGGATATGGATTTCTGGAGGTGTTATTTAGTTGATGTTTCTAACCAGGTGTGAAAAAAAGAACACATCCCTTTGAGAACCTATTTTTGTCCCTCCCCTCTTCACAGGTCAAGGTTAGAGCACATCTTCTGGTCAGCTCTTTTCAGATGTCTCACAGCAAGAGGTGGAAGAGAACTGGATTTTGGGAAAATAAATTAACTGAAATTCTTCAGCAAAACAGAGGATAGAGATTTGTCAGGCAACCTATAAGCAAATTTCCACTCCCACAGGAAGTTTCTGGAGAGCTTCCATGCCTGTGCTTTGTTCCACCAGCTTGTTGCAGCATTTCTTTACAAGGTGCTTGACATGGTTTTCTTTGAGAAACATTTATGTTCAGTTCTTCACAGCACTGTGTGAAGATGTTTAGCCAGCCAAACATTTCCCTATGCTTCAGGCTTCCATTAAGGAAATGCACAGCTTTCTTAATTTGTTGAGCTAGCCCTTGGTTTAGGGGTAAATCTCATGCACTCAAGGCTTTGGCTTGCCACTGGGGTGCAGGAATGATTTAATTAATAAGGGCTGGTTTAAGAAAAAATTTAAAATAACTAAGGGTGTAAATTCTAATGCTGTTAAATGGCAAAATTAGTCTCTAACATCTGAAAGTTACAAGCTTTTTTTCTTTTCCCTTTAGTTAGTATAGGTTTAGGAGAAGTCAGCAATCCTATCGAGTTTGCTTCACATTTTTAACAGTAGCTTATGCTTTATTAATTTTCAGCA